AGCACCTAGGGAAACAAAAGCAAGAACATTAATGAGGAACAGGAAACAGCACAGACACACAAAACAGGCACAAGGGCAACAACCAGGACACCAACTGACACACTACAGGGAATGCAGATACACACAGGCGCACCAACGATGGAAACACAGAAGGAACAACACCAGGGGGCACACCAACAAACGGAGGACAGGGACCAGGAGGGAACAAAGGCGCAGAGGGACGGGGAGCAAACACAGGGGGCACAAAACCAGGGGGCAAGGAAGCAAAGGGTGGGGGGAGACAGGGAGCCGGAGGGAACCTCGGCAGGTGGAAGGCAGGAGCTGCAGGGGCAGCAGGCAACCACGAGACCGGAGCCGAAGGGACCCTTGGCGACTGACAGGTAGGAGCTAGAGGGGACGCCGAAGTGGGCGAGGAGGAAGGCGGAGGTTCTAACGAAGGAGGGAGGAAAAGGGGACACTATTTTCAGACATGCTGAGAAATTGTAAAAAATCACATTATAGACATTTATAGGTAAGACGTTTGAGCTCAGAAACTTATAGACACAGGGGTTGGCTACACATAGGTGAAAGTGACATTCTGAAATTTTATGTAGTTTGATTACCAAAGTGTTAATACTTTAGAGTGACACTCCTTTTCTCAAAGTCAGTCAAAAAAGCAAATCGTGTCACCTTTCTTTGTTTTACTTGTATCGCGAGCGTTTAGGACCACTCTCAGCGGAAGATCGCTATTCACGTTCTAAATGCGCTGCGTTTGAATCGGCGACCACGTGATTGCAGGCACACAGGCTTAGCCCACTGAGCCATGAATGCAGGTATGAGCTTCGCTGCTGAAAGTGGCAACACTGGCGCAAAGCTTCAGTGGCAGAGACGTATCCGTGTGCTATATTGTAGCCGATCAGTGTAAACACTACCCAGACACTACCCAGCCGATACTCTTGCCATGCAGACATGGCTCTGACATGAGCGATATTAGATGCAAGTTTGTGGAAGCCACCATCTTTTTCTATAGCTTTTTTCCAATTAGTGTAGCCATGTTTGGTGAATATGTCCTCGCGGTCCGAATTGGAAACACTAAATTTGCGGCAGGCAAAGCAAAAGCTGGCATCACGGACAACAGAATATTCAAGCCACGGTCGAGACTGATACCAGCTTGCACTAAAACAAGAATGCGCGCTTTGGATAATGAATTAAAATGAGCTGGGATGGGCTATCCATATTTAAATCAGGCAGACCGGACTGTATATTTTGTTGAAGGCAGAGGTTTGAAGTAGCCGACACGAGCGCAGAGCTGGAGGATTGTGTAGGAGATTCAGTTCCCGACATGGGTGCGCTATGCTCCGTGTTGGTAGCAGCGGTGCTGGGCTCAACCGTGGAGCCAGCAGCTTGCGGAGGGACAGAGGTTGAAGATACGGACTTTTTAATAAGCCACCTATGCATAGCTTTTGCTATTACCAACCAGAAGATAAAAGAAGAATGGAGCATATACGCTGTTTTAATTAAAGATTGCGGTCAACAGTTTCAAAACGTGCTGCAAAATGCGTAGCGAAGTGAACCGTGAGCAGCACGTGCATGTCTAATGGAGGAGGCACTGACGGATACACCCCTAATTCAAACGGGCCAATTGGAAAGCAACTCAGTTTTGAAAATCAAATGTTTTCATTGGACAGAGTATTTCGCAGGGTGGGCATGGCTTGTCTCTGGTGGGGCAGTGCCCACCCCAGCCCCCCGTGGTCACGCCTCCGTGAGGAGGGAGCAGAAGCCGCGGCAGGCGAAGGCACCGCCACAACCAGTGAAGGTGCAGGCGACCAACGTGTCGGAGCCAGGGGACCCGCAGGCAACCGACGAGGCATCGGAGGCGGGACCGCAGCCGGCCGACAGGTAGGAGCCAGGGGAACCGCAGGCGACCACCGAGCAGGATCTGGATGAACCGCAGGCGACTGCTGAACCGAAGACAGGTGGGACCCGACTCCGTCGCAGGTGTCCCCTCACTCTCCTGGGGCCTCATGTATAACGACGTGCATAGATTTTACACTAAAACAGGGCGTACGGACAAAACTAGGAATGTGCATAAGCAAGAAAAAATCCAGATGCATAAAACTGTGTGTAAGCACAAATCTATGCACATTCCCTTTATAAATCCCAATAAGCGTGAAATTTTACATACGTGAACGAGCCCACAGCAACCCCCCTGACCCGCCCATAATTATGTATATTTGCATATGTAAATCTGTATAAATGCCTGCTTTGTTCTATGTTTTTCTTAAACAACAATGGATAAACCACTTGGGAAAAAGAAGTATTTCAGCGAGTGCGAAATGGAGGTCATGTTAACAGAAATTGAAAAAAGAAAAGTGATATTATTTGGTGGTTTAAGTGGCATCAGCAATAAATGAAATTTGACGGAGTGGCACAGCGTGGCGGAGTCAGTTAAAAGTATTGGTTCCGAAATTTGCACGGTGGCCGAAATTAAAAAGAAGTGGTCAGACATTAAAATCGACGTGAAAAAACAAGCAGCCGCTCACCGTAACAGTGTTAACAGCACAGGCGGAGGTAGCGGAATTCCCGGTCTCACATCCTTTGAGCAACTAGTTGCTGCGATGATTGGGGACACACTTTTATCTGGTGAGGGGGACGCCGATGTCAGCACGGGTGAGTTTTTCTCGTACGATACTTGCTTGAATTACTTGCATGATCATGAATAACACATAGGGCGCAGATGCGGTGTTACTTTCGTTTATTCTGTTTGTTTATTCTTACAGACAATAGTACAAGAGGTGCCCCCAGTGCCGAGGACGAAACAGGCAGTGATGCTGCAGCTGTGCCGAACACATCTTTAGGTGCTGGCTGCACATATTCCCGTTTTATGCACCGTTTTATTGTTACAAATTGATTAAAAATCAGGTGCCGTACATTTGTAAACAACATACAATTAATGTCGGTGTATTTGTCAAAGTCAGCGTCATGATTATGAGTTGTGAGTAGATTCTTGCCACTGTGTGCCGTCCCTTTACAAAGCTGAGCAGAAATGTGCATACGCCATCTCTGGAGCTGCTGTGAGAATGTGCGTAGCGGTATGCCAAGTTTTGTTTTTATACATCTTCATGCATATTTTCGTGCGTATGCACTGTTTATACATGAGGCCCCTGGAGACCGAGAGATGGGGATCTGGCCGGGATCTACCACGCAGGGGTGGTGGCTGGGGTGACCCACCAGAGGGGTTCAGTGGGGCACTGAGGAAAACCCCCGAGGACCTCCTTGGGGACAGGGAGCTGGGGTCACGGGAGCAGGGTCTGGGAGATCAGGGACCTCCTCCGGGACAGGGGTACTGGAGTAGAGTGCGGGGGATCAGGGACCTCCTTAGGGATGGGAGCTGGGGGCATGGGAGCAGGGTCCAGAGGATCAGGGACCTCCTTAGTGACGGGAACCGGGGGCACAGGAGCAGGATTAGAAGAGTCAGGAACCCCCTCGGGGATAGAGACCACGGGAGCTGTAGGCGCAGGAGCAGGAATCACGGGCGCCGGAGCAGGAAACTCAGGAGCAGCAACTGGAGCAGGAATCTGAGGGTGGAGCAGAAACCACAGAGGGCAGAGCAGGAACCTCGGAGGGCGGAGGAAGAACCGCCGGCACAGGAACCACAGAGAGTGGAGCAGGGGGGTTACGCCTCAGGTGCGGGTACGGCATCTCCTGCTGAGGAAGCCTGTTCCATCCTCAAATGGAGCAATATCCTTAGGGTCTCCTCTGCCCTGGGCAGACGAGCCTCAGGCACAGATGGCAGAGAAGCTGCGGGCAGCCAAGCCTCTGGTGCCGAAGGTGGCAAAACTGCAGATCCCGGAAGGACTTCCAACACGCCCTCCCATTTGTGACCCTTCCACTTCTTCTTGCGAACGGATGCAGCAGGAGTGTACTCGCCTGAACATCGTCTCTGCCACTCCTTCCCTCAACTGCTGCAGGTTGGCTCATACCTTCTCTGTGATGTGCAAGGTATCAGGCGGGGAGATCTATTCCAAGACCTCCCTCGACTGGGTAGCGAGGGCTCAAGCCGCAGGGTCCTTTTTAACCTTCGGGATGTGTGAGCCAATAGATTACCTCTTTGATTAGGCTGAGGTATTCTTCTTCTGTGAGGCGTGGCATTTTTCTTCCGAGTCCGGTCATTCTGTCATGACATAAACCGGGGCACGAACCGGGGAAACAGGAGCGGGTGAATACGGGATTTAACTCTCTGGGGACTAGGGGTAGGGAACACACTTTCACTGACTGGGGCATGATCACACATTTCTAAAAATATCATAAAATTATTTCATGGCAAATTATTTCTTATATATTTGTTTTGGCCTTACACTCATCTTAATTTTGTATCGAGGACAAAAAACACTCAGCAACACACCACAATGTCAATGGCCGGACTGGGGAAACATACTTAAACGCAGGCTTAAATAAAACTAATGCCAGCAACTTGAAACTGCTGATCACACGGGGATTCCATGCGAGGTAACGAGGGGACGTGGCACAGAAGAGGATGGGATGAGCGGGGTATGACAACAGACACACTTCTGACCATAAGCTATTGTAGGCTATAGTCTAGGGGCCTGACAAAAATGGATCACACTCCTGTCCCACTTGGCAAGGTTTACTGCCAGCACCCTCTACATAGTTTAGCAGAATATTGACTTTACATTGTCTTTTATGGTCTTGTTTCCCTTTTGACTCAAATGATAGCTGAAATGGCCCGGGGGGGGGGGGGGGGGGGCAGTTAGCCATGCCATGCTCAGGCCTCCAGAGAACCAGAGAAGTTAATCCACCCCTGCTTCTGACATACAGAAATAAAGTATAGAACATGGCACATGCTTACAGAATCCACTGAATTTCTCTTTAATGGAATTTATACTGTATTGTCACGCCCTGCTCCGTCCGCTCCCGATGTGTGCCACGCCCCCTCATTATCCACATGTGCTTCCCCGATTGTGCCCAGCTGTTTCCTGTTTCTTTTGGCTTGTCTTCTGTATTTAGTCCGCGTCTGAGTACGTTACCCCAGATCCGTCATTGATGCTTGTTGGTGTCTCTGTCCTGTTGTCCGGAATAAACCCCGTTTGCCTGCATTCACGGCTTGCTTCGCCTGCTTCCCGGTTCGCTCGCTCACCCCATCACAACACTATTTTATGGCATAAATGAATAGCTTTCCTGTTTTACAGGGAAAAAGTACATAAGTATGGATAACTTGCTAACGGTATTTCAAATAAACACTGTAGAGTGATTTACCACTGTTTAATTTATTTTGTATATGTCATTGTGTTTTGTATATGCAGTGACTGCAAAACCGAGAGTGTCAAAATTAAAGACAGGTCTTGGGTCTGCTCAGCTTGTTCCCTAATCCCCTAACATAACCCAGTTTTCCATAACTAGGTTGAGGTTCATCTTGGTTCACTGATAATTTTAATGGGCCACTAGATGTTCCAGTATATCAAAAGATTTAAAACCTCAGTCTAAAACTAAATGTAAACTTGTTTATGCCCTCTTTTAAGGTGGGGAAAATATATGGATGATTGATTTTTCTTTTGATAAAAATATTTCAGTAAGACTTTACATGAACCACTCATGTACAATTAAGCAATAACATACAAGAAGGAGTGAGGTTGTACTCCAATATGTCATGGCTGTGTTCAGAGATGTTCACGTGTCACAAAATTAGAGTCCGAGTCAAGTCTGAAGTCTCCATCATGATTGAAATTTGACATTACTATTTATCAAAAACGTAACTGCCTATTTGTTTTTTCTATGTAACTGATGTGATATATATACAGTGGTACCTCAGTTCTCAAACTCATTAGAACTAGGACTTCTTAAAAGTCGAACCAACCAGTTCGAAAAAAAAAAATGACCTAGAACTCGATCTGAATCTCATAAGTCGAACCGTGAACGCCAACCTAAGATAACTTGTACGCGCACAGGCAGGACAGGAGCTACAAGCAGGTTAGAAACCATAGATAGATCAGGAACATCAGGAGCAGGAGCCTTGACCACCAGGACTGGAACTGGGATTTGGTTCCTCGTAGCAGGCACTGCCCCTTTAAGGACCTTAGGGATCCGCGGGATATCGTCCCTAATTGACCTGACCTCTTTATGCGCCAGGCGTGTCTCTATCCAGGGGTATACTGCTGGAGGTTGCGCTATGGCCGGTGGCGGCAGTGAAACTGCAGCGGTGATATAGGGCGCAAACAGCTGGTTTCAGTATTGGAAGGTGTTCCTTCCGATATCCGGCAGGCAAAGAAGCTGCGGAGACAGAAACAGCCCTGATGAAGACTGTTGGCACTTTCCGCTTCTTCTTCTTTCTACACCCGGTCGGCTTGGGGTGGCGAAGCTGGGAGCACTTCGGAGATGACGGGCATCTGGTCAACACTTTCTCCACTTGGTATTGTGACCAGCTGGATCCGCCTCTCTGTTATCCGCTCCATCAGCCGCCAGAGATTTTCATGTACCTCTCATATGGGGCACGCATTCCCGGGCGGAGGTGCCTCACTCAGGAGGGTCCCGCTCCGGCTGGCTAGACTCAAACCACGGGGTCCTCACAGACCTCGGGCTGATTCAGCCAACACACTACCTCTTGCAGCAGACCAAGGTGCTGCAGTGTGTCTTCGGAGAGGTCTGTCATTCTGTCTGTCACATCCGGTAGCAGTGCACGAGATGGTGAAGCAGGTGAAGGACACGTAGGATTGGGGAACGGGGGATTTAATTGACAAGGAAGCAGGGACATGGAACAGGCAACGAATGGCAACACTACATATTGAGACTTCACTAGACTTCAATGACAGACCTCGGGTTACAGACTCTGATGTGGACTTAAATACACCGGAATAATCAAACTAACAGAAAACAGCTGGTCACAATCGGGATTGTGGCACACAAGAGGATCATACAAGCGGATCGTCGCAAACTTTTCTCTTTCTCAATTTATTGAACTATTTGATTGATTTTTAAAAATTTCTGCACACTGCATATATATCCAAGAAAGATTACATAGTCTGTGTGGCTAGCTGTGGGAGGCATTTAGGCCTGATACCCAGGCCTATTTACAAGGGGGGAAAAAAGGAGGTGAAGGGATGGCGGTCATGGCAGGCATGATCACTCAGTGTCTGTTAAAGGATAATAGCAGCAGTTAGTAGGTAACCAGCACATTCTGTAATGCTAATACATCGTTAGATGAACTTACTGTCGGAGGTTGGGAGGTGCAGTGTGACGCTGGGTCTGCTGACCTGTTGGGCCAGTAAGGCCAATTTCTCCCTCCGGTAGGCCATCACCTCCTGATGGTGTCTCTCCTTCTGTTCCCTCAGGGCCACCAGTTCCTCCCTGATGTCCCTCAGAATGGATTTTTTCCTCACTCTCAGACCTGAGGAGCTCTTCACTGCACCGGCAGCGAATATTTCTGCACCGGCGGGTGTGCCGTGGCGAGGCAGCGGGATGGATGGGGGTGGGTGAGCTCCCAGGCTGAGAGGATTCAGGGGACTCAGGGGAAACTGCAGCCCTAAGGGAGTGATGGCCACGCCGGAGGGGGCCTGATGTGGAGGCGCCTGGCAGAGGCATGGCAGATGTGGAGGGGCCTGGCAGAGGCATGGCAGATGTGGAGGGGCCTGGCATGGAGTACGCCTGAGGACTGCACTGCAAGGGGTCAGATGTTGCTGGGCCAGGAGGAGGTGACCGAGGAGTAGAAAGCATTGATGTCTGAGAGGTGCGTAGACCACAGACATCTATGCCTCCTGGGACTCCCTCAAGTGCCTCTGGCCCTAGAATAGCCAAGACTCGCTCCTCCCCAGGAATGAGAGGAGGTAGACTGGTGCTCCCACCACCAGTCCTCTCCTGCTCCCTCCTGAGCCCTGCAGCCTTCCTCTTGGTCACACTGGCGTAGTCCCTCCACTTCCCCCTCACATCCACCGCTGTGCATCTCCAGCCATGGCCCACAGAATTTATTTTGTCTGTGATGTCCTCCCAAGCTCGTTTCTTGTCCGCGTTTATGGTCACATTTTTGAGCCTGGAGAAAAGGATTGCCCTATTCCTCTCCACCTCATCTACTAATACAGATAGCTCTGCAGCTGTAAATCGTGGCTTTCGTTCCATACTAACATTGGGATATAGGACCTCTTCCCACTGGCTTTAAGTAGTGTAGAGCATGTTGAAGCAGCACATAATTTCCCACCTGTGCCAAATTTCCTAATTTACTTAAGTATTCCTCTGGAGGTCACAGACAACCACAAAGTATGATGAAGGACAACTTTCATTATCCCTTGTATGTGTATACATGTGTGTATTTGTAGCCCTATGCAGACCATTGGGTGTTGTGCAGTTTCTTCATTACACACATAACTTTAGAGGGACAACAGTCGCCTTAGAAAAGAGTACAGCATTTTGATTAAGTACTCCTTATTCACTGACAGCTGTCATTGCCATTATGGAAGAGCAGAATGACACTACAGCGGCCAGATACGAATCCATGCCTTTGTTCTCGGGAAATTACGTCTGTAATGTTTGGTTATTACACACACCTGTGTATTCCAGTCAGCCAGTATAACAATATTCTGTAAGCGACAACGTCGGAATAAAAGTTATTCTGTTTATCACTCCAAGGAGCGTCGCATTATTTTTCCACGATTGCTAATTTTCATTTTATTGGCGTTGTGTGACTGACAGAAATTGATGTCACAAATAAATATATATGTGTGTGTGTGTGTGTGATTGTTATATATTTTACACAGTTCGCGACCGGCTTGTTTGTACGCGACCGGCTGTGAAACTGCGTTGTTAGTTGTTGCGCACGACTTGCCGTGAGTCTGACCAATCAGCGCTGGAACCACTGTAGTTCCAACTACA